ACCAAATGCTCCAAAGAAAGCACACGATTTCGCGAATCTGTAAGTTCGAGTGGCCGTGGCTAGAAAGGCGAAGCTCCAAGTCTTTTTACTTTCCGTACGAAAACTCCTACAAAACTTGAGGTCTCGAATAATAGAGCTGGAAAACTTCAAGCAACCTGCCAAATCACGTGATTTCACGCCGGACAGAATTTAAAATGATTTTAATTTTATAAAAATTAAAAGACTAGAATGAGGTTAGTTATAGAGATTCTCGTGGGAGAACATAAAAAAACTGAACTTCTATTTGACGCCTTAAAAAATTAAATTTATCGTCCTAAGTCCTACTAAATATACCCTTTTGTCCCTTGTCCCCAACTTGACGCAAAATCCACCCTCCTTCCTCGGCCTCTATAGCCGCCGCCGATCAATCCACCACAACCAACCACCATCCCCTTCTCTAGACTCAATTGTCACCGGCAACCATGTCCATTTCCCAAATCCATTTCCATTTCCCCTTTGTGTGCATCTCCATCAAATCATTTTCATAAATAAAACGTCAATAAAGGGAAAAGAAGGAAGCCGAAGGAGATGCAGAGAGGGAGGGAGCTCCCGCCGGATGTCGGCCGCCACTGCAGGGAAGAGAATCAGGCAAGCTTCCCGATCTTTTTTTTTTTGCTAAGGAGGAAATTCTAGGGGAGGACGGCAGAGGTGATTTCCTGGTGCATTCTTCCGACAACGACGACCGGAGCTCGGTGACAATGATGATGTCCGAGTAGCAGCGGCGGTGGGTAGTAGAAGTCACCGCAACATGTAAATTCGACGGCGGGATTCAGTGGTTCATTTGAGGTTTAGGTTACAACTTGGGCTTAGGGGCAAATGCGGCCATTTTTAAAATTTAGGGCGATAAATTTAAATAGTTAGGGCGTCAATTAGTAACTCTAAAAGGGCAGGGAAACAATTGTTATTAACGAGAAATCGGAATTAAGGGACGCGGGATGGTGGGCCATCCCATCATTCACCTCTTTGTTTACGGGTAAGATGAATTGCTCATCGATGTTTAATTTTTAACAAATTGGTCATCAATATTTTACTAACTAACAACATCATGATCATTTTATTAGTTTCAATTTACTTCACACTTAAAATTAATGGAGGCTTGCTGGAACTAGAATTTCTAAGAGACAGATTCAATTCCATAGATAGATCCAGAGCACGAAACAGAGGACAAGTAGAACGAGACAACCTCTAAGCTATCATATCTATAGCAGTTAAAATCAAGATTTCACGTAAAATCGAAAATAAAGTAAAATCGAAAGATTTTAAGATCCATATAAAAACGAAGACGAAATAATATTAATGAGGAAAATCATGAATAACACAAAACACTTAACACTCAGAATGATAATTTGTCAAACTTAATGTTTCAATTTATCAAGGTTAATGTTGGGAAGTGGTGCTTCGATGATGTGAATTGATGATAGTTGATGGTGGTTAGTATGAGATAACTAGATGATGTTGGCAGAGGAGAAGGAAAATAATTGTAATTTTAAAAATTCTAGGAAAATAAGTAAAATTGACCTAAATATTTACATCGTAAATAGTGTAGGATTTTAAGGTCCATGTTTTTTATAGTAAAATCAGAATTTAAATAGGTTAGTAAAATCATAAAATTATAAGATTTTAAAATTTAAATTGAGATTTTGACTACTCTTACTCTAAATTCATATTGCAACATGAATTGTTAGAGATATAGAACAAAAAATGAAAGAGAATTTACTGAATAATCAATTCCGCATTAGTTAGTGGAAAAGTAAATACCCAATTTCTTAAAATTTAAACATTTATAAACCTCACTCATACAAAACGATATTTGAACATTCATAACTAGTTTGTTAGTGATAAAAAATTCAAGTGCTATTTTGTTAGAGATCTCTACATGTAGGAGGGTTGTGTTAGTTAAGAATGAAAGTCCAATAATGCGTTTATCAGTTATTCAAAGTAGGTGGTTGGGCATGCTTGGTGACAAATGACGTAGGCAACCTAATATAGATGGTGACATACATAGTGCATATGAACCAATTCATGCAACAAATTCTAACAAAAAAAAAAAAAAAAATCAATGCAACAAATATGTAACACTTTAGGCGAATCCCACATCGACAAAACACGAGAGAGATTCATGGTTCATTAGTAAAAAACCGACCTTAACTGACAAAACCCGTTTTGGGGTGAAATGGAGGATTTCTTGTGAGAACTCCGAAACTAAATGTGCTCAGTGTGGAGTACAACAAGGATGAGTGATCTTATGGGAAGTCATCTTGGATTGCACCCCAGGTCGAAAACCGTGAGGGTCTCGTCTCAAAGTAGATAATATCTTCATCGGGAAAAGGTCCGGAATGTTAGAAAATGTTTGAGATTGATTATTAGTAGAAAAAAAAACTTATTTGTGTCTTGTAAGTCACACTTTCATGCAAACGCGGAAAAAAAAGCGTTATAGTTTTCTATCTTATGCAATACATTCAATTGGGGTGTGTGTAAGAATTCGACGGCTAGCAGAGAACTAGCGTGGGCCCTGGCCAGTTGGCCGGAGAAAGGTGAGGTATGAAATTTGATAATGTAATGGGGTTTATAGCTTATTGTTGTATAGTTTTTTTTTTTGGGAAACACGTGATAAAAATAGTGAATTTTAGTAGGAAAGAGACATGAATGATGCAACGAATCAAAAATCGGCTTTATGAACCAAAATCAAGTACCTGTTACCTTGTGAAACAATATTGTTTCTGGTAATATGATGAGGTGGAGTAAGTTTTATAGAAATCGAATTCCAGAAAATCGAATAAAGAATCGTCTATCCCGTCAGTTTTCGGGAAATGAGCATCTCACAATCGTTGCTAGCTTTTACTCGGCCCATTGGCCGATTAATTTGCTTTATAAAACTTTCATCTTGTCGTCATTGTGCTTTCTGGTTTTTGTCAGACCATGAGAAAATCTAAGGAAATCAAGAACGAACAACACGATTTGGGATAGGAACCGCCGTTGTCGTATCCCTAGAAAATGGTGGTAAACACGGACTCACTGCCAAACTGGTTTGGATTGAGATTTTTATGGGGTATGAGGGAACCATGTGATTATAAATTGGACTTGATCAAAACGGGCCAACACTTAAAATTCAGCCTGTTTGACCGACCCATGACAAATTCTAATTATTCTTTACTTTTAAACTTTCTATTTGAAAATAAAAAATAGTGAAAGAAAAGAGATGACTGCAATTCGCCATTTGCACACCACTTATTCGGGAATAAAACCATAGAAATTCAAAAGTAACTGAAAATGTTTAGGATCGTTTTAATGTTTAAAATAACCAAATAGATCTTTCTGTTTAGTTTTTTACTAACAAATACCAAACGATTCCCTATAAAATACACTATAATTTGATCATTATGATATCAAATAATTATATAATATATATTTGAAATGATAAAAATTGGACTTATTGGGTTGGTCGAGGTTGAACCATTGAATAAATTTAAAATACATTATATTTTAGCCACTAAGATATAAAATAATAGTATAATGTATATTATGCTAGAGAAAATAGCTTGTTTTAGAATGTCAAACCAATGATGTTCATTTGTTTTACTTGATGGCTAAATCCCGTGTAGGTCAGGCCCATTCAACTCTTTTATTTTATGGTTAGCGGTTAGCCCATTAGATAACATGCATTAGTTTATTGTTAAATTTTTTATTTTTAGCAATAAAAAGAAGTATAGTTTTTGCCTTTTCATATAAATTTTATCACCACAGAGAAATAAAAGGGTTTAAAGAAAAAAATTGACTCTCCTAGACCCGCTTAGATCCGCATGTGTACGACAAGTTGGCCCGTTTCACAGAGGAAAGAGAAAAAAATTGACACTCTCTATTCTACCTTTCCTACAAACACTCCTGGAGCAAAGAATTTGAAATGGGGGAAGAGTTTTTTCCTCCATGCTATTATATGTTTTTAATTTAAATGGATACAACAAATGTACTTAGTGTAATTGGTTAGGATTCTTATTTTTTTTTTAAAATGGTCATGGTTCGAATCCCAGTATGTGTCTTTTTAATGAATAAAAAAAAGTAATTGTGAAGACCAAAATGTCCTTCCTACTTTCACTCTCATTGCAGGAAATTTGAATAAAAAAACTTATTTGTGTCTTGTAAGTCACACTTTCATGCAAACACGGAAAAAAAGCGTTATAGTTTTCTATCTTATGCAATACATTCAACTGTGGTGTGTGAAAGAATTCGACGGCTAGCAGAGAAAATGTATTACATCGTTTGGCGGTTTTGGAGAAGAAATGACCATGACGCAGCGTACTGTATGGATGGTAGTGGTGGTTATACAGTTCGGTCCGGTTAAATTGGCCCGAATTGATTCATTTCCGATCCGGTCTTTTCGAGAATATAAGGACTAAAAATTGAATTGGATACAATACGGTTTTGAACGGTCCGGTCCCAATTTGGTCCTGATTTTAGATTGAGCTTGTGGAGATTTTAGTGGCCTGAGAGGGAATTTAAGTGGTCTAAGGCCTGAAAGGGCGAGGAGGTTAAATTTTGGGTGATGGGCTCTCTTATCCGGTCTTTGTCTGGTTTTCTGTCCGGTCTCAAACGGTTTTTTACCTTAAATCTAGGTCCGAAAATTGGATTGGATCGTTTGCTATCTGGTCCCAGTCCGGTCTCGGTTCGAGTTATACGATCCGATTTCGGGTGAAACCAAAAAAATCCGAACCAAATAACTAGCTCTAATTGATGATAATGCATGTGTGTGATGGTAATGCATGTGTTGAAAATTGAAATTAGGGCACATAACCACCACCTCTTTTCACAATTTCCTTGTAATAGTTTATTTCGGCTGATCCTGATTAGGTACATAACCACCACCTCTTTTCACAATTTCCTCACCCAATCCACGTCACTACACCGCTTTCATCCATTTCCTTCTTTCTTCTTCCCTCTCTGATCTCTCTCAAAAAGGGTAACCGATGGCTGCATCAGCTAGTACTCTGCCAACAGCCTTCATTTCCTTCCGCCACCGACTACGACAGCCGCCGCTGCTCCTCAACCACACCTTGCGTACGCTACAAATTTCCGCCACCGGCGGCGAAAGACCGCAGCCGCCTCCTCTTCTTCTCCACCAACACCGCCCTTCGTTCGACGCTTTCCTCAGCTTCCACGGTGCACTACGTCACACCATCGTGGACCACCTCTACGCCTCGCTATTGAGAAAGGGAGTAAAGGCATTCAAAGATGACACCCAAATGGAGAGGGGAGTGGAGGTCAAACAGGCCATATCGGCGGCGATCGGAGACTCGAGCATCTACTTGCTCCTTCTCTCTCCCGGCTATGCGTCGTCATCTTTCTGCATGGACGAGGCAGTGGAGATCATGAAAAGCTGCGACGGCGGCGGCGGGAGAGTAGCCTTGCCGGTCTTTTACCTCGTCACACCGGAGGACGTCTGTCTACCGACGGCCGGCTGCTTCAAGGAACAGTTCCAGGCGCACTTTGCTGACTTCACTTACGCCCGGGTACAGGGATGGATCGATGCTTTATCCGCGATCGGAGAAATTGCTGGATTTGTGCATAACAATGGCAGGTAGTTAATCACGTCTTTTTAGGGCTTACGTATGCAAAACCCTAGTTACCCAGTTATTAGGGTTTGGATTGATTTCCTGGCTAATTCAAGTTTCGGGGCAGTTGATTCACATAAAATCAAATGCTCTTGTAAGCTGTTAGGATGTCAATTGAAATTTATCATCCCCTAATCGATCAAGTTTAGGGTTTTCTTCAAATTAAATATTTTCAAGTACGTTTGAACAACAAGTTTTTTTAAAGCGTGTTTTTGAATTTGTTCAAATACATGGGTGAATTTCAAACACATATGATGAGAGGTAATGATTTGAAATTTCTTAGAACCTCAGCTAGGACTTGTTTGTAACATTAAAAACTTTTGGATATGATTGTAAAATTACCGAATTCTAGGTAAGACAGAAGAAATTTAGGTCCTAAACATGCAATTTTTGGAACATAGTATTCTTTGGCCAAAATTCAAATTCGGCAATTTTACAAACATATCGAAAAAATGCAATGCAAACATAAGATTTGAAATGCACTCTAACTGAACTGTTGTTATGAAACAATGCCTGCAGATCTGAAGTTCTGTTAATCGAGCAGGTGACAGCCACAGTTAGAAAACTAGCCCAGGAAATGAGGAGACCCAGTGATAACTTCACCAGATATCCTCCGTCGTTGCTGCAGCTAGCTTCTTCCAGTACCGCACACCATGATGACCAACATACGGTACAAGTTAGTTAATTAAGATATGTGTCGAAGTTCTTTACTTAGCCCTAGCTAGCCCTAGAATTTTACCCTACATAGCTTAAAACTTTACTGTCGTAGTTGTTTTTCATAGTCAAATATTCATCAGCTAGCCCTAACCCGCACAAGAAAGTTAGTAGAGCTTCTTGCAATCAAATATTCAGCAGTTAAAATGCATGAACCATATAGTTAGGTCAAATTTAAGATTTACCAGTAATGCTCTCTTTTAGTGCCAAATATGAAAGAGAATACACATTAGTTCAATTTCACTACCTCTGCAGCATTCTCATTGCTATTTTTCTCTTCTTCCATAGAGGATGCCCTTCTCCCAGAATCTTGCCTTAGTTAACCAATGAGTAAGCATAGAGACATTAGAACATATGTTGAGTCCAATAAATAGAAGAAATACCAGTGACTTAGCTAAACTGAACTGAAGTGATATGAAGTGCCTGGCCTAGAAAAAAGAAACAGCCAATAACCATATTGAAATCGAAACCAAGTCAAAGTTAGGTGTAACAAATTAATGAAAACCTAGAGGCAACTTAAAAGATTAACCGAATGCTAACTTCAGATTGGTGCAGGTGCCTGCATATATATGCAGCGCAGTTCACATAGAGGTGTGATTTGGTTGCACTGCTATTGCATCTGTTTTCGAGAGGTTTATATGATGAGGGCTAGAATTGCTTTTGATATAACACAAAAATAGCTTATCAATCCTATCCCTATATAGGTGCTGCCAAATGCTAACTTCAAAACATTTAGGGCCAGGAAACAACAGAAGGATCACTACAATTGCATCTAGTGAGATTGATCATAGTAAAAACGAGTTCCTTATAAAGAGATCTAGTTCTAGTCAATCAATTTGTGCAGCACCAAGATGTCTATCTGAAGTCATATTACCTTTGTAGACCACAGAAGTCGAAGATCCTTGCCAACTTGTGTAGCCTGCCTCAGATGCACTGAAGTGACTGCATGCATAAGGAAAATTAGGTGGGGAAATGAAGTAGATTTGTCGGTCTTACACAAACTGAACTTCTGGAGAGTAGCTCTTTCCATACCTTCATAAAAACTCAACGGAAAACTCTCCTTAGCCCTCTTCTACCTCATTCGATAAAAAGTGAACTATAAAAACTCTCCTTGCACATCTGGATGGTAGAGTATAGCTCATTCTAAGGAGACCGACTAAGTGAAATCCAGAAAAATGACTAGAGATAAGAACAATGAAAAATGACTAGAGATAGCGAGGATATAGGACGATTGGAGGAGAAAGAAGAGATAAGAGTATTAATTAGTTATATTGGGCAAGACAGGTGTATAAAACAGAACTCGATCCGATTAAACTGTCTGATCAACTCGACCCGCCATCGACTACCATCATTCGAGTTAACTAAAAGTCAATAATCCGTAAACTGTCTAACCTGTAACCTGAATTACAAGTTATAAGAACAATGAAAAATGCTAACAGAGAGCGAGGGTAGGAAGATTGGAGGAGAAATAAGAAACAAGAGTATTAGGTATATGGTGCAAGACAAGTGTAAAAACAGAATCCGACCTGATTAACCTGTCCGATCAACTCGACCACAATCAGAGGTGACTAAAAGTCAATAACCCGTAAATTGCCCAACCCGTAACCCGATTGATATGCAACCCAATTAACCCGTAACCCGATTGAACCTGTAACTTAGCTAACACGCAACCCGATTAACCCATAATCCCATTGACCTAGCCCAACCCGCCATGCTAACCTGAATAGTAACTATATATATATATAGGGTTTAAAAATGAGATATAACGTTTTAATTTGTAAAGTTGTCTTGTAATTGTTGGATTATATCCCTCTATAATTGCATGTTAACAAACATGATGCTCCAGCTCCACTATATTTTTGAACTTTCATGCCATTCAACTAGGAAAACGTAACATATAATAGTCTTTCATCATTTCTTTTTAAATGACCGATAAGAGCAAGGAAAAATGACCACAGAGAGTGAGGATAGGACGATTGGAGGAGAGAGGAGTATTAGGTATTTGGGCCAAGAGGTAAGCCGTAAGGGAGATGGAGGTTTTGCCTTGGAAGGGACAAGGTAATTGATATGGTGGGCTTCGGAGGGGGGTTTGGAAATTGCAACATGGCCAGCAAAGCAAATAGAGATTTATATGGACTTTAAATTGGTGGGCTCTAGTGGATGGGTCAGCTAAAGCGAGGGGGCCGGCAGCAAACGGAGATCTGATATGGGCTTTACTTTGGTGGGCTCTAGTGGATGAGTCAGCTAAAGTGAGGGTCCAACAAAGCAAAACCGAGATGTAATATGAGCTGTAAGTTGGTGGGCTCTATTGGATGGGTCGGCTAAAGTGAGGGGGCTAACAAACAAACGAAGATCTAATATGGGTTTAAATTGGTAGGCCAGGCTTTAGTGGATGGGTCAGCTAAATTGAGGGGGCCAGAAGAAGTTTGGTCCACTAACCGTGGAGCTGGAACAGTCGTCGGGCTTGATAGCAGGACTGAGCCCTCTTTCCTTACCCAAATCTTTTAGAGCCTTTCAGGAGTATCACCATTCACCAATGCCCAATCTTTTGCTACTCAGTAACCCAGATGACAATTAATCTTCCTCGTGGATGCTCCCCAGTCCCCAAAGACGGTCCCGAATTCTCAGCAGCGCGCGTTCTTTTTCCTGATTCCCTTTGTGCATTCCAAAAATCGACCTATGGCCCTTCCAACTTCCCTCCAGCCGATTCTTTAGCGAGCTTTTGCGACCGGCGGCAACATCGACTGTAACAACAGAAGCTTGCAGCAATGTTTTTGTCAGGTTAGCCCACAAGTTGTCATCATCTACGGTGGGGATGTTGATGTACGTAATACACATGCATGCACGCCCACTTGATGTTTATTCAGAAATTTGGAGGTATTGTCCCCCTTTGTTCTTTGCTCTTCCAACATGGATCCTGCGGCTACTACCACTCTGGCACTCTTCTTGATGCAACCTTTGAGGAACTCCCAAATTTTCATCGCTGATGTCTGGATCTGGAGAACCCCTTGGAGCTAAGGAATCAGCTGGGAGCCTTGCATTACGTAATATTTTAAACCATTACTAAACTCTTTCATAACGATTCTAATTTAATTGTTTCATAATATTTAAGGCATATGAATTGTACGTAACAATAGTAGAATAGTGTTACCTAAAAGTTTTATAATATTTTTTTTTAAACTTAATACGTATTAACATGGAGGTCATTAAAAATGTAAAGACATAATGGAAGTCTTATGTAACATCATTCTATAGCTGTTAAGTAAGAGTTTAAAATTAGCAAATAATACGTAACTGTTACATAATAAACATTAGATTTTATATAATGCCAGCTGTAAAATCTGCTATACAAAGTCAAAATTCAAGTTGTAATAAGTTGAAGGCATCACAACAGCTCTCTAGGGCTGAGAAAATAGATCAAACCGTTTAAAAAATTATAGGCCATACCGGACCGTAAACCGTTAAGAAGGAGCTGGTTTGATCCATGGTCTGTATTGTATGACGTTTTCATCTCTTGATCTAGTCTAGACCGCGATTATTCATACCAAACCATGGACTCTGCTGACTTTTCAATACGTTTACCATCTCACACGACCACTCTCCCAACTCCCCTAACAAGACCCAAGTCAACATTAATTTTGAGAATCTCATCCTCTCCTTCATTCACAACCACATTTCACCATAAAGTAGAGACGATCATGTCTCCATATGACATTATGTTAATGTTTATGACTTAATGATGTAAGTTAGGATGCTTTGACTTTGTATCTTTATTATTTACTGAGATTCAGAGTGTCAAAATTATTCATGCATGTTGGAATTTGTGTTTTAAGGGGAAAAAAATTTCCCGGTTATTGATTCAATTGTCATGTGGTTGACTAAACAATTGTTCAGTTTTTGTTCAATGTAGTATCTGGACTAGACAATATCAAACTAGACCACACAATTGTGATCTGGATCGTAAAGTATATATATAGTCTGGTCTCTAGTCTATAAATTAGAATTTAATATAAATTTTTCTGATTTCTTAGCACCACCTTGCCTCAAAAAAATATAGTAGTAACAATTTTAATTTTATTATGGATCGAACACAAGTTCTTACTATTATTGTAAATAATTTTACCAAAAGAATAATATTTTGTGATTTTTTAAATGAGTTTAATATAAATGAAAACTCAAAATTTAGTGGTGTTTATTGTTACAGTTGTCATTTCAAGTGTAGAAATGAACACTTACCACAATGAACAACGTGAAGAAAAACTTCAAAATAATGAGTGTTAAAATCATGAATAGTTTATTAGTGAGGTACTTTAAGAATGACATCCCTATAATTTTCATAATAAATATATTTTAATTTTTTTCAAGAATATGAAAGCACATCCTAAAACTAATGGTATATATATATTGCATGAACTTAGGTGAATTTCTATCTACGCCACTCATTGTAAATGTCTTCTTTTATGCCATATGCTGTTTTACCGTAGATCAATGGCATAAAGATTTTCTTGATAAATTTTCGAGTGAGACCGTCGCAGAGATTTTGAACCATTTGATCACTATCTTTTTTTTAAAGGACAGTGAGAATAAGTCTTATTTTTCTTCTTTTTTTTGTCATTAAAAGTGTAATGCTTCGGAAAGTAAGCTTTAAGCTCCCGATCAATACTTCAGCTCTCGAGTTAGATTGTAGCCAGTATATATGGTTTGGTTTGATCAGACCGCATCGTTTTTCCCGTACTGGAGCTCCCTTCATTTATATTAAAGTCAAGCCTATCAACAAGTTGGATCCAAAGCTAGTAATCTAATAATTCATCTAGTCAAACAAGCAAAGAGGGGGAAAACAAGGATTGAAAAATCGTACCCTATCAACGATTTGATCAGAAAAACCTCCTACTAGAAACAAAACTAGTAGGTGGTATTTAGCAGTATAAAATGGTCGAAACATAATTGAACCACGGTTTCCGCACAAAACACCGTACCACGTTGAGTTTCCGTTGGTAGGATTTTTCAATTCTTGGGAAAAAGCAAATAACAATAACAATCCTCCCTTCCCTATTGATGCAGGAACTCAAATACTTTCAGCCACAAATCTCATCAACACCAGGCAGTGACAGAATCGTGAGGATCCCCAAACCCGCTTATGCCGATCACGGCGTCAATTATCACGGCCACTCGCTGCAGCTGTGTTTGGTGGCACAACGCTACTCACGCCCCGGCGCCACCCAGCTAGAAATGGTGATCAACGACGACATCACCGCCATTGCCACTGAGGGAAGAAGCTTGTGGAAGGACGAAAAAATCGAGGTGGAGCTCTTGGATCAGACGAAGACTACTACAGCTACCAGTAATGCAGTCCTGATCCGATTTCCCAACCAAGACACTCGGAACAGGGTGCTCGAGTCCTCTCCTTGGCGCATCAGTGGCTTCAAGTTCTTCATGATGAAATGGGAAGGACAGCTGCTGACGTCGTCGCCGTCCATCCCGATGTGGGTGAGGCTGTACAATGTTCCGGAGGAGTATTTGAACCCTAGAGGGCTGAGTTACATAGCCAGCGCTCTCGGGAAGCCTATGTACGTGGATCGAGCCACCGCTGATTGTTACTATCGACATCGTGGTATTGATAGTAGCCGCGGTGGGTCGCAGAAGATTCCGCCGTATTCCAAAGTCTGCGTGGAGATCTGCCCTAAGGATGAAGGCACCAGCTGGGCCGAAAGGTCGACGATGATGATGGTGATTGCTATTGGCGATGAGAAGGAGAACCTGGAATTCGTCACTGCCATTTACCAGCTGGAAGATGGACAGGAGGAGGAGGAGGTAGCTGCTCATAATGAGACTTGAGACGAGTGGTTCACACTTCCCAACGTAACCTAGCTACGCCTCTTTCTAACGAGAAGTTAGATCGATTTCGAGTTTGGAAGTTTGCTTGTTCGTTGCGTTGTTACTTACGTACGTACGTTCTTGCATGCCCCATGCATCGTCTCAAAATATATAGTTATATTGCTAGCTATATCAAAGCTAGCTTATGGACGGCCGGGGGGGGAATAAGACGAACTGAGTTGATTGGTACCATGATATCGATATGGTGTTATGTAAAGTATAAATGTGTGTTGTAATATGCTTATACCTCTTATTGTAATTTAGAAAGAGACTAAATCGAATTGCGAGGGTGTCTATGTAGGGATGGCAACAAAACCCGAACCCACGGGTACTCACCTGACCCAACCCGGTCAACGCGGGTAAAATCCGTGTTGACGGGTTTTGGGCCGGGTTTGGGTTTAAACCCGTTCACTATTCATCGGGTTGGGTTGGGTTTGGGTTTAGGTAAACCCGGCCCGTGGGTACCCGCCCACTCATATAATTAATTTTTTCGGTATATTTAATATTCTAAACAACTAATCTTATTTATGTTTGTGGAGACATGTCTAATTTTTTCTTTTTAATTGTGTAGAATGAAGTTGATGTTATGGAGTGGAGAGTAAAGAAACTTAGCTTTCAATTAAACATGTTATTTATGAATAATTTGTGATTTGCTTCAATTTTCTTGAGTTTTCTATATTGGTGTTGAACAATTTGTATAGTTTATTTGTGATTTGCTTGAATTTTCTAAAATGGTGTTTTATATATGGATAATTTGTATTGAGAGATTGATATTTGACTTTAAATTTGATAAGAACTTGTAATTGTAAATTTTTTACGACAAAACCCGTGGGTACCCATGAACCCGCGGATACCCAACGGGTTGGGTTGGGTTTGAGTTTTTCAAACCCAGTGGGTTTTACCCCGGGTTTTTTTCAAAGATAAACCCATGGGTTTGGGTTTGGGTTTGGCAAAACCCGACCCAACCCGACCCATTGCCATCCCTATGTCTATGGCTGCAATATAATACTATCCGTAATACTTAAAAAGGTTCTCTTCACTCTGGTGGCCCTTCTCGTTCACTAGGTAACGATAAGAACTTGCAATCTTCAAATTAAATGTGTTTTTCATTTATAAGGATGTGTAATTAATTACCTAACATAAGATCTAACATTTGACCTTGCTCATCAATTTGAACTGTATTACATTGTGGAGAAATTTTACAATGCTATAGAGTATTGGTGCTATAGGGTTTTGCTTTTATGGTATAACTTAAAATTGTACATTTACGTTATATTACTACTTCAGATTGTACGTATACTTTTTGTACAAATTCTTTTATGGTACAACTTGAACTTGTACCTTTATGTGATGGTACAACTTCAAGTTGTAAAGTTGTACCATAACATAATGGTACAAATTGCTTTATGGTACAACCTAAACTTATACATTTAATGTTATGGTACAACTTTAAGTTGTACATTAAAGCACTAATACTATATAGCGTAATAGAAGTGCTCTACATGGTGACATACTATCATATTCATTATACTTTTTTCTATATGATCCTGTATTGCTCTTAAAGTTTTTCAAAATAACTTTAATTGTTCAAAAATTATTAAGAAATGAGTTCTCTAACATACTTTTATATAACTTGTCTAATGAAATGGTCACTTATTAGCTGCCTTTCAAATTTGCACAAGTTGAATATACATACTTACATACGGAAAATTCTTAGCTCTAACCTTGGTTGGAGCAGAGGCTCTAACCAGCCACGTGTCAGTTTTCTATTGGTGATTTTATCATTTTTTAATATTTTAATTCTTGATTTACTTAGCATAATAAAATATTAAAAAAAAAAGAAGGTGAATTTCCCATACATACTAAGTGTTTTATTTAAATGTTAATATTAACGTGAATTTAGGATTTGAATACATATTCATTTGCTCCTTAGAGGCAGCGATATCATTTGAAGAATGAATTTATCAAATTCACTGAAAAAAATATTTATTAGAGGTTTTGTTTTCATTTGAAGTTAGAACAATATAATTTTATCTGTCACCTGCATAAAAGTGCCACAAGCCCTTACTTTAGTTCCTTCTTTTTTGTTTGTGAATAACGAATTAACAATTCGCTATGGTAGTATATACATATATGGTTGAGTAAACACAAAGTATGATAGATTTGAAACATTTTCAAATCAGATGATACTATTGAGATCATAATAAAAGAGAATTTTAACTATACCGGTAAGACATAAATCAGGCCGGCATAACTGAATCAGATGATACTATACCAAAAAAAATAAAAAAAATTATTCATACCTAAAAGCGCATCCGTTAGAGGTTTGTTGATATAGTGCTGGTTGAGAGGCGGTGCATCCGCTCAACTGAATCTTGCTGCTTCCAAACGAAGAATCGGCTGATCTCAATAATTTGAGCTGTAGCTTTAAATAAAAGCTACTGAATATAGTCTTTAAGCTTATATAGATCGGGATACCATGCATTTAACAGAACAGATGGGGTTGCAAGAATTTAAACAGAAGACCTCTCGGTTTTAGAAATAAAAAAAAACAGTCAATTCCAATGACTTGAGTTACTGTAAGAGATTCAATTGTGTATCATATATCATCTATACTAACACCAAAATCATATGGAGAAGAGAACATCATCAATCAAGCGAACTCATACGTACCTGCAAAGATGGAAAATTAATAAGCTGACCTTTCGAAACTAACTAGTTTTCCGAGTCTGCGACCTGCATGTGTTCACAATGATATGAGGTAGCTAGCTTCTTGGTCACCAAAATTTATAAGCTGCAATACCATGTCCTGTTGGATCTGCTGCCATGAGAACCAACGTAACTTAGCCACAGGTAGGAACTCGAATTGCAGGAAAGAGTTCCAAGCTGCAAATTTTACCTACAGGACACACACGTTGATCTTCCTGATGAAGAAATCAATTGAAAGGAAGAACGAAGGCGATTAAAGTTTTGGATCAGCGCCCAGAGAAAAGGAATGAAGAGATCGAGGGAAGGGAAGGCTCCTGCTGCTATCGGTTGTAAAACTACATCAGCAGGGACATCAGTTGACTCGGCGGAATGAAGTTGACAATTGACTCGGGATTTTTAAGTTGATTCGCAGCAGGCACGTAATGAAGCGGTGTATATTTTATTTATTTTTAATATTTTTAGCTTAGCGGTAGCTGTGGGTGGGTATAAATTAGAAGAATTATTTTTGTATTATATTAGTTTACAACTATACAAGATGAGAATGGAATTTGGGCTTAAATTAATAAAGGCATGTTCATAACGAACCAGCTGTTCTAACGGCTACGGGGGGCAATGGGTGGGTCCAGATCGCACCAGACCGAATTGTCAAGAACCAGTTGATCTTAATAATTCGATTTGTTGAGAGAGGTATCGAACAGAAGACCTCACGGACACAGAAAGCACTGATACCATGTCAAGAATGAGTTGATCCCAATAATTCGAGTTGTTGGGAGAGGTTCAATCGTGAATTATATACCCTTTAATAACACCCCCCTCAAACGAAAAGCCACTCAGATAGGCTTGAAGTTTGCACCGGCATAGGTCCGGATACCATGTGCTTAACAGAAACAGACGTGGGTCATCGTGATTCGAACAGGAGACCTTTCGGTCATATAAGACTCTGATACCATGTTGGGATATCAGAATACGGTGGAAACTGTTGTATATTATTACTGAACCACGATGAGTTTATATAGAGGATAATGAGAGACTCCGATAATAACCCTAACACTAATATGGAAAATACATAACTTCTACGACTCTTATAAGGAATATAACTCTACCCAATTACATTTTGATACTCCTGATTTCCCAACACGAATCGATGTTTGGATCAGATCACACTGAATTTAATATAATATGGTCCGATCCTTGGTTCTATAAATTTCATAAATACTGAAGAAAAATGGATCGAATTTACATTTGGACCTGACCAAAGCGGACAGAATGCACTATTGATCCGGTCCTTGGTCCTAAGATATCTTTCACTATTTGACCGTGGTTCTCCTGAGTTAAGTTCGATCCGGTCAGGACTGGACCGACCCCCACCCCTACTAACGACTAGCTTGTCAATTTTCGTTACGAAAAAGGGCACTTTCTTGTGTACTTCAAGAAGGTAGGTGCCAGGCGTAAATGTATAATATGGGTGTAGAGTTTTGTCCCCTGATTTTTTTTTATAATGGTGATAAATATTATAAAAGAGACCTGTAGAAGAGTACAGAACAAGAATCAACAGAATTGATCCTACAAACAACAATGGAGGGGAAAAAGGGGAAAAGAGGTACCCAGAAAATGGAAAAAAAGCCAAAGTTACACACAGACAAGAACTCCCAGGAGAAACCCATAACACTAGGTGGGCGAGACCAACCCTGTGCGAAACCCCCCAGGATGAGGAGCGAGACTAGAGTTCTCGCCGAAGAAGCTATGAGGTGTCTTGTGCGTCGGTTGACCTCATAAGCAGCTAAATGATCTATAAAATCCTCTACCAACGATCAGGGGTACATGTTGCTATAGAGGTCTGGAGAATCGCATTGGTTTGAGTCACCTTTGATTGGGGACAAGCAAACGGTTAAGTGTGGAAGAATTTGATGACTTGATATATACACATATTTTTTTCCACCATTCCTATACCGTTTGAGTCTCATCTCTCGTGTTTTAGGCTGATTTCACGCTAGGTTGTTCTTGTTTGTGATATTTAGGTCCTAGTACATGAAGGAAGGTTTGGGCACGAGTTCGGGGTCGATTGGACGAAGTTGGGACATTTGACGAAAAGCTGGAAATTCCACACGGCCGTGTGACTTGGCTGTGTGGAACCCCTTTGTGCAGGCAAGCCACACTGGTCATGTAAAGGGCCTTTTTGGCCATGTGGAATTCCTAGGGAGTTCACACGGGCAGACCTAAATTCCACATGGCCGTGTGATTTTGGTCGTGTA